GAGCTTTTAGTCACAAAATTCCAAAACACCCAAATTAGTACAAATTGTATCCTTTATACAATAGTTGATATGATTTCTCCTCCGTTATGAGAGCATTAAGTATAGTATTGTATGATCACTAAAATATATGAGTACTTTGAAGTATGATTTAGAAATTACTACCAGAATTGAAGAGTTTAGTTTAATGTCTCTGAACTGAAAAACATGGTGTATTAAATCTTTTCTTGACACTTGACAAGGAAGATCTTATGGCTGTATTTGAAACTCAAACTTAAAGGCTTATTTGTAACCCATTATTATATCAACCTCTGGTTTCACCCTGTTATCCTGTTTTTATCTCAAATAGTTGTTGGCTTTTACTTTAATGAAGCTTAGTGATAAGGTTAATGTTGAAAAACTGTAGGAAGAAAATGATTGCTGGTAGGAAGCAAGATTTGTGATATATAGATATATATTATGATATATATGTATATACACACATATATATGTATTCTATTCTCTGAAAACATAGGCTGTTACTAGAAAGTACTGACAATAGTTATTTTCAGTGTCTGATGTGATAGTTTACAGTTATTTTAATGAAGTGAAGCAGGACTTTATCTAATAGTGGATTTGAGACAAAAAGGCATCTGGAAGTGGTAAAGGCATATTCACTCCTCGAAAGTATACAAGACCTAACAAGCCTACTATGTTACAGACAAATCCTAAAATTACAGACTGCCCTGGAAGAAGGTAGAAAACTAACAGTCCATAAATAGGTAGGCATGTGACCACAGCAAAAGTGTGAACAAAGCAGATTTTGCTGCCTGTTTTGGGGTTGGGCAAATACTATGATTCATTATGAATTTGCTGTTCCAGTTTAAATAGCCTAAAAGGTGAAACTGGCAAAATAAGGTGCATTCTTTTCATTCTGTAACCTACCTCATTTTATTTTGGGTCATTTTTATTTGCATGATTGTTATTCAGGAAAGCCATTTTATCTCTGAGAATTGCAATTGATTATTGAGGAATAGGCTTGGTCAGCCAGTCACCAAATCTCAGCCTCCTTCCAGATGGCCCCTCAGTGTGGTCATAAGGAAGCAAGGACAAAAGAAACCATATACAATAAAAAGGATGCTTTCTACATCTGGCATTCCTCCTGACTATCAGGCAAGCACTTCTCACTTAGTGCTCCCCCCACTGGGGTGATGGTACTCAACCGCTCCCACGGGCTGTCCCCAGTATCGTGCAAGGTGTAGGCTCGGCCCTGACCCACGGAGTAGAGGTGATATGTATGCTGTGAGTCACCGGTGTCACTTCCTGCTGGCACATTTGAGGTTTCACGGAAACAAATCTCTGAAAGATGAAGGTAGAGAGATGAACAGGTGAGCTTTACATTACTGAAACCCATCTGGAAATTTGACAGGAATAATGGCCTCCAAAGGGAGTTTTGTTTTCATAACATTATTGAAACAGAAGTTCCAATGGCCAGTTTTGAGTTTACAGATTATCATTTAGCATGGAATTCCTCTGTATCTTAGTTACCAATGTAGAGCTTGCTACCAGATCTGTTTTCTGACACACTGACCCTATCTAAAATCTTTAATATCACAGGGAATTATTTTCCTAGCAGGGACCCATCCCATGGTCAAGATTGAAAACTCAAATATAAGATTTGCATTTGAATTACAGAGAGATCATTATGTTCAAATAACACTAAAGTCATGAACAACTGAAAGATTAAGGAAATATATGGATAGGACTTTAGCATCTATTCCTTCCCTGTATGACTGTAATGAGTAGTGATTTATAAGGGTGACAGGGTGCTGGATATCAAAATTCTCCATGGGTGGACTTTTTCAATCTTTTGATCATTCCCACTTACTCCTCTACCCCATTTTGCAAAGCCCTGGGCCAGAGGTGAGGTTGAGAAAAACTTGAGGACCACTGCTTTTAGGCAATAGAGCTTTGCAGCTGGACACACGATTTAGAACCAATTTTGATAGTTTATTGGCTACATGCATCTATGATGGAACTGTAGTGTAAACACTTTCATTTGAGAATAACATTTAAAATTATTTACAATTCCATCTGTAAAATACCCAAATGTTGGATTAATGTACCAAGTCTCACAGAAACCATCCTGAGCGATGGACTATGTCCAAGAGAGTGTCATAGGTTAGGACAGCCCAGTTTTTGTGGAGGCACGCCCTGCCCTGAATGTTCTTTAATTCACAAAGGCAAATATTTCACTTGTGGCCTGACTAACTGGATCAAAGTTTCCAACAGTGGAAAAACTAACAATACGAAAAATCTTTGAGAAAAAAAAAAAAAAAGCCTAATAAACAACACCTCAAAGCAATTAGCTGGATTCTATAATACTCGCAGGTTGCATTTGTAAGCAATTCTGAACAGGAAAGGCTAGTATCTGATTTCTGGAAAGGATGAAGAAACGATCCTTTGCAAAGAGAGAAATGTGCATTTGCACAATGGTCCTTTTGCAGTGGGAGAATCGGTAATATCTCCTCCCATTAGTTGGAGAAGCATGGAGGCATAGGAGTGTCAGGGATATAAAAACACACATCTAGAGCTCCACTTTGTGTAGAGCAGACTGTATAAATTAAAGGGGGTAATTCTTCAACAGTGAAAGTGTATATGGCAAAATTATATTGAGAAGTAGAACAAAATTGGCTTGGATGAGAATCTAGCTAATTCACCCTAGAAAGCTATGTGGACAAAGTTATCCTTTTCCATCTCTGTTCAACTGACAATGGAATCCAAACTTTAGCCACTTTTTTGTCACTTAAGAAGGAAGCTTTTTGGGCTTCCCTGGTGGCTCAGTGGTTGATAGTCCGCCTGCCGATGCGGGGGACACGAGTCCGTGCTTTCAGTGCCTTAGGGAATATATCCAAAAGTGTAAATACTGGATAGATAGCTATGTTTTTAATTTTTTGAGGAACCTCCACATAGTTTTCCATAATGGCTACACCACTGTACATTCCCGCTAACAGAGCACAAGAGTTCTATGTTCTCCATAGCCTCACCAACACCTATGATTTTCCATTTTTTTGATAGTACCCATCCTAATGAGGATGAGGCAGGTTTTCTGACCCAAAAAAAAAAAAAAAAAAAAAAGAAAGAAAGCAAGCAAGCAAGCAGCTTTTTGTTTCCCAGTAAGAGCAATTGAAGCGTCATTTATATTGTAGGAGAACTATGGAGTGGGGAGGAGTTAGTTCTAAACTTTTCAAAAGATATTTTTGAATCACTGAAAGGTTATGAGGCTTGATGTCCAAAGATGGACTCCTAACTCTTATCTTCTATGGTCACTAGATAATTGGTCTTGGGCCAGACATGTAATTTAACACTGAGGTTGTTAGGGGCTAATAACTACTTCACAGGATTGTTATGTGTCAAGTTTGAAACATTAAGAAACTGCAAATTCTGATGCTTATGTGTGAACAAAGCAGATTTTTAATTTCAGTTTTACCCAAATCATATGCAATTTGCTTAACATATACATACTCCTCTGATTGTGAAAAAATAAAATAAAATTCTTTATTACATGGATTAATTATCCTTTAAAATACCAAAGTACAGAGAGATTTATAACATTGTTATAGACCAGTAGAGGGCACTACCCACATACAGTACTTCTAAAACCAGAGGCTAGATGTTGAGTGGCATGGAACATTCATGAGTCTCTGGTATGTTAGATGTTTCAGAAAAATATAATTTCATTTAATTCTCCCCCAAACTCTATAAACTAGGGAAAATGGAGATCCAGAGAATTTAATTAATTTGTCCAAAATTACATAGCTCAAGTTTTCTCCCAGATTGCCTTTCCATGTACTTTGTTGCCTCCCTATGGGGTTAAATACTCTGCTTCAGTTACATTTATCTGAGTTTGTTCCCTGTGATGTCCATTATACTCTAGTATTATTGCCTGTTGCCAGATTCTGTAATGCAGCCCATTAACAACATTGCTATGTACTCTTGGGAAAGTTACTTAACTCACTTTTCTCATATGTCTAATGGGGAGAACAGTAGTATCTTCTTCAAAGAGTCAGTGAGTGGATTAAATTAGATAGTATAGGTAAGGAGGGTAGAACCATACCCACATACAGCACGTGGGCAAGAAATGTTAACTGCTACCTACTACTCTCACCATCACGAGTAATGTTTCTTATATAACATTTACTCATATAGCCTGGAAGAGTGAAGAGCAACTACATGAGTCCTAAGAAGAGTAGAACTCTCTTCAGTCAACATCCGTGCAATTAAAAGGATTCTCTTATTCTTACTACGCAATTCAGAAAACTACTTGAATCGTTCTGGTACCTGTTTCCCAACGTTTATCTTTTCAGTGGAGAAATGCCTTGTTTAAACTCTTACTGGGCTGACAGAAACTGGATTCTTGGGCACAGTGTGGTTCATCTAGCATGTGTGTTCCTTTCCATCTTAGATAAGATATATTCTGACTTTACTTAGATTACATTTTATTCATTAAAATGGATTTTAATGTGTAATGCAAAGAGTAACTTAGGTACTTAAATCAACAACTGATGTATCTTAGGTTGAGAGTCCTGTTTAGTTGTGACCATAAATAGAAGCCGAGTTTTATTTGAAGCCTTCTTTGTGATAGTTTCTACCTTGGAGCATTGCTCTGAACACATCATGAAGTAAAACTGTGGAAATTTTCCAATTTTCCAATGGCTAAGCTTCTTAAGAAATCAATCTTTAAAGTCAGGTCTTTGTAAAGGTTACTGTGAAATGTTTCGAGTAGGTCAAATCTGTAACTCTGAATGTAATGCCAGGGCTTTTACCCTTGGACAGAACAGCTGGGGGTTCATTTATTTTCAATGATATGCCTGTTTCCATGAATTAATTTTTTTATGGTTTCGATGGATCAAATTCTCGAAATAATTAAAAGAACTTTATAAATACGGTAATTATGTGGAAATCTGATTAAGGTTTCTTTCCTTGAAGCATTAGTTATATATTTGATTTTTCTCCATAAATAGGTTTCCATCTTCTACAAGCAGTTCTCAGTACAACTGTGATTCCTTCATGTATCCCAGGAGAGTCTGAAGATAACTGCACAGCTTTAGGTAAGCCCAGCTTTGTCCATGTTGCATCAAAGAATTACACATTCTTAACAGAAATGTAACTCAAAGACTATAAATATGTGATAATGGAAAAAAAGCGGGGGGAAATAGCTGCTGTATTAACAAAAGAACCCAGTGAACTAGGGATCTGGAAAAATTATATAAAGGAATAACTGGAGGCAGAGGGACTGAGCACCTAGTTATATATATAAAGATTTGATCTTAAAGAGATAGAGAACAAAGAAAATCAGATTCCCTTTGGTCATTTCAGAGCGTCGCTGAGAAACCATTGTGAGGAGTTGGATCCCAGGCAAAACAGGAAAATTTAACTTTTTACACAGTAGACAGTCAATATATTTTGTTGTTATTTTTTGTAAAAGGAGCAAATGATGTCTTTTATTTTGAGTTACAGCATTCATTCAGAAAAATCTACGGAGTACTTAATACATGCTAAACACCGTGCTTAGGCATAGGGTTACAAAGATAAGTGGTGCAGGCTTCCCTGGTGGCGCAGTGGTTGAGAATCTGCCTGCCAATGCAGGGGACACGGGTTCGAGCCCTGGTCTGGGAAGATCCCACATGCCGCAGAGCAACTGGGCCAGTGAGCCACAATTACTGAGCCTGCGCGTCTGGAGCCTGTGCTCCGCAACAACAGAGGCCACGATAGTGAGAGGCCCGCGCGCCGGGATGAAGAGTGGCCCCCGCTTGCCACAACTAGAGAAAGCCCACGCACAGAAATGAAGACCCAACAGAGCCATAAATAAATTTTAAAAAAACATATTAAAAAAAAAAAAGTGGTGCATGGTCTTATCTTTGGGGCCCAGAGTACTCTGAATGTGGTTCAAGAGAGATCTGCTTTATAGCTGATTCACTTCGTTGTACGGCAGAAACTAACACAACACTGTAAAGCAACTATACTCCAGTAAAAAAAATAAATAAATAAATAAAAAATAAAAGAAATAAAATTTTAAAAATAAAATTAAAGTAATAGCACCTAGGCACCAAAAAAAAAAAAAAAAAAAAAGAGAGAGAGAGAGAGAGAGAGAGAAAGAGACAGATCTGCTTTATATTCACTCTGAGTTATTAAGTCCAGAGTTTTCCTGAGGAACCAGAGCATTTCCTGCAACAACTTCACCTCCTTTCTTGTCCTTCCTCTTTGTGCTCTCTAGAGGTTTGGTGTGCTTCACTCCCTATTTTTGGCTATTTGAACAAGAGTATTACAATCAAGATGATTTGTTTGGTTATTTCATAAAGATCCGTCACATTTTAGTAATTAAAACGTTCTAAAGTGAATTGTATGTGTAGGTTGCAACACTATTCTAAAGAGACTACTATTTTCATTGTTGTATTTGTGTAACCGAGGCATTTATAACTCAAGGTTTGTCTAGTTCATGTCCAGGTCTCATCGTGAGAGACTGTGATTGATTTCCCGAACCCGAGAGTTTGGGAATGCACACGAAAACAAGCCTTGCTGGCTTAAAACCCACTATAGATTTAAGCTCTCCTAAATTAATTAATGGATTCAGTTTGCAATTGCTTTGGGAGTAATGAATGTCAGAATTATTTTGAGATTTGAAAAAATTATACACACTTTGTTTGGATAAGTGAATAACTGTGAAGGATCATGATTGTGTGTGTGTGTCTTCAGCTTACCTTTTCTATCTTAAACATTGTCGTTTGAGAATTTTACCCCCAGGTTTTATTTTGTTTTGTTTTGTTTAGCCTGTTGGCCATTTTCCTTTGGGGGTCCAGTGTTTGTTTATTGGTCTAGGGAGCGTGAAAACTAGAGTGACTTTTTGTCCTGAAAATACCTGACCTCCTTTGTGCCAGTAGCTCAGTAGTTACTATTATGAAAGGGTGATTGATTCTTCAAAGAAAGCAACAGACTATATTCCACTTTCTATTTCTTTCACAGTTCAGACAGAAGATAATCCACACGTGGCTCAAGTGTCAATATCAAAGTGTAGCTCTGACATGAACGGCTACTGTTTTCATGGACAGTGCATCTACCTGGTAGACATGAGTGAAAATCACTGCAGGTAATACGCCAAATACAAGCAAACAAAAACAGTTTTTTAAAAACCCACATTCTCTTTTTTATTTTTGTAATAATTACTCTATTGTTTCCATGGGCTGCCATTTATGTGTACTATTAGCATGCAGTTTATATGTACTATTAGAAACTTTATTGAGTGAGTTTTTTTAAAGTTAGGGAACAAATAGTAGAACAAACAGCAGTTAAATTGTACGGATGCTTCAGGGCTGCAGAATGGGCAGGGCTTCACATGCCTTCCTCTCATACTTACCGCAGTAGTAGCTTAGCCTTGAATCTGGACTTATATGTCAGCCATTGTTATAAGAATCGATTCCACTGACTTAGACAAAAAGCACTTCAAACTTACAAACCGCCATTATCAGCCACCCTGGCAGTTGAACCAGACTATCATTCTAATACAGCAGTTGAGCTTGAGAGCAGTGTGGGCCTCTTTTATCCAAGTTGGGCCAGCTTTAAGGTCAGTCTTTGAATTCATCTTTACAACTTTTGGCAAACCTTGTCAGTATCTTGCATTACACTGTAAAATTAGCTCTTACGAAACTAATCAGAATGATGATTTCTTTCTTAAATAACTGACCTTTCTCTTGCATTGTCCTTTAGGTGTGAAGTGGGTTACACTGGTGTCCGATGTGAGCACTTCTTTTTAACCGTCCAAAAGCCTCTGAGCAAAGAATATGTGGCTTTGACTGTTATTCTTGTTATCTTGTTCCTCGTCGTAGTTGCTGGCTCTGTATACTATTTCTGCAGATGGTAAGCCAGTGTTTTTGTTTTTGTTTTTAACACTCTGCTTTTGTAAATTACCTTTATACAATCCACACTTACAAACTGGGTAAAAATATGGCAAAGTATTATTTAGTGGGATAAGGTAGACTCTGCACTAACGATATTTATAAAGAAGTTTTAGCAGTGGAACGTCTGGACTAGTAGAAACGAGTGTCCAGATAATTATAAGAGCTGACTTTTAAAAATTGGTTCATGTCAGTCCCCCAGAGTTCCATCTTCAACACTCCATCTTCATGTACAATGCTGTACTGATATATGCTAATAACTGAGAAAATATAGAGTGGGCACCGAACTACTGACAGTATATCAGATTGGCCAGTTTTTAGGCTTAGGACCAGGATATAGGAATAGAATGACTTAATTAATAATAGCTGCCTTTAAAATGCCTCCATGAAATCCTTCTTATTTTGGAAGTAGTGCAGATTTTTTAGTGTAGATTTGAGTGAATTTTATTTTATTTTTGCTGACAGTAATGCACTCCTACTTTTGAAGCTCCAAAAGTGTTACTTTTATAAGATTAAATTTATTTGGTCCATGCTTGAGTCTAAGTATTCACCAAATTATAATGCCTTTTTAATTGGTTATGATCATATAACTGAATATTATTAAAACTGAAATGCACCTGAAAGGTCTTTGACTACAATCCTTTCTTTTATAAAGATGGGAAAGTAAGATCCAGAGAAGTAAATTGACATGTCCTGGCTCATCTAGTTGACAAGTAGCTAAATCAAGGCTAAACAAAGGTTTTCTAATAATATTCTTCCACTAAGCAAAAACGTTATGCAGTTTCCTTAAGGCTACATGCTTCATCTTCAAAATGGGTAGAAAATGAACTCAAAATATTAGGAAGATAGCTTTAATGAATGAGTGAATGAAGATTCTGAATCGCGATAGATTTATGAATCGTAGCTGGGAGAACTTGACCAGGTTATGTAACCCATTTGTACTTCATTTTCTTCATCTGTAAAATGAGGATGATAATGGTAAGTGTGAGGATAAAATAAATAATGGATATATAGCATTTAGAACATTGTCAGTCACTTAATAAGTGCCTGATTTATTTTCATTATTATTGGTGATAGCATTATATCAATATGATGGGTAGAATGAAAGAAAGAAAGGAGGAAAGAAGGAAAGAAAGAAAGAAAGAAAAGAACAGAAGGAAGGAAGGAAGGAAGGAAGAAAAGACAGAGGAAAAAAAAAAGGATAAAACAGACCAGGATTAAACGTGGTCACATGCTCTCCTGGAATTTTACAATTTTCATGATCATGTGAAAGCCTTTGAGAAGTCCTTTAACAGCATTTCACCATTTCCTCCCCAAATTATTTGTTCAGAGAAACTACCCCTTCCTCCCTCCTCCTTCTCTAGCATCCAACCTAAACCTATTCACCTCTGTCATTTTGGAAACACTATGCTAATGTACCTTTAGCGTCCATATATTTGTTTCTTTTGTTAACATACTTTGATCCTATCACTGTTAACTTCAGTGTCAACGGTTTAATTTCTGAATATTTCTAGGTACAGATATCGAAAAAGTAAAGAACCAAAGAAGGAATATGAAAGAGTGACCTCAGGGGATCCAGCATTGCCACAAGTCTGAATGGTGCCATTAAGCTTATGGGCAGGGATGCACTGCATACCTGGTTATGTTAATATTCCTATTTTATTAATAATATTTATGTGGGGTCATGTGTTAAGTCAACAATGATGTATTTTAATATACTAAGAAGAGTTTTTATTTTTGTTTTTTTTTGACAGACTGTTTGCTAATGTATAATGTACACAAAATATTTACTGTGGAAAGAAAATGGATATTTTTGTAAGAAATCACTTCCTGGGCTAAGTGCTTTATTGAAAGCTTTTTTGCCTGCTGTACAATGCATAGGAGTGAGCAATGCCCAGTTCATTGTTCAGGAAGTGTCAGCAAGTGACAGGTTTCTGTAAGCCTAAATATATGGTCAAATCAATTTAATAAGTATATATTTCTACTGCTCGAATCAATGATAGTTGGTTTGACTATATCATAGTCTGATGTATGAGTTGGCACCACTGTGCCATGTGTCAAAACGGTAATGCTGTGGAAATTGGGGAGAAGCAAATATAGGTCACGTACTAAACACTACATATTTGAAACACACTAAACCCTGGAGGGCTCTGCTCCCTCCACACACATCCTTAGCTATAACTCGCTGTTTGTCTGCCTGGAGAGAAGGTGCATGATTCCCTATTCCCAACCACAACTCCTACGTTATTAGTCATCCATCTAACAGATTCTCCTTAAGAAAATGAATTGAGAACTTAATTTTATACCATCTTTTATGTAAATAGTAGGTAATTTATAGCTTCACAGTGTTCTTTTTTTTAGTATGACATTTATGCTAGGTAACTGCTCATGAGGCAATTATAGAAATCCACACGTGAAGCCAAAATCTGTGCTTCTTTTCAAGAGTATTTATTTCTGTAGGGACTTGGCTGAAGAATTCTAAGATTAAATCATAGTCCAAAATTTGATGGACTAATTATTATTTTAAAGTGTGATATAAGACAGTAATTCTATATATGGTCTAAAGAGAGCTAAAAGGATATTTCTGTTTCCCACTAATACAGCTGAAGTCAAATGTGCTGTGTGAAAATACATTTTAAATCCTACATATACTTATTGATATTTACTGTATGTAAAGGAGGTCTGCATATTTTGAGTGACCTTGATTGCTTCAAAGACAATTTATTGACTAACCAAAAAATCAGCTGCAATCCATTTATTTTGTTACAAAATGGAGTCATATTGGTTTATCTTAAGCATCTCAATTCATATTACATAAGTAATTGTAAATAATGGTTTGGGGTGTTTTTTAATCTTTAGTTAAAAACTAACCCCTGTAAAAGTTAAATTTTTATTTATAAATACATATTAAATAATAAAAAGGTATGACACAGATTGCTTTTATGGGAGAAAATTAGTAAAAAAATTATTTTAATGAGGTTGATGCTGAACAAACATAAAAAAACGATTGCTAAAAAAATAAAAAAGATTGCTAGCAACTCATGTTTCCTGCAAACAATGGAAACATTTTGGCTCATATTTAGTCTATCTCCCTTATTTTACAGATTTCTCACTGTATATATTTCTAGAAAGGGCTATCTATACCCACCGTATTGAGAATAAATGCAAATCCAATGCATAAATCCATAGTTTGTGGCTTCCCACCAAGGCCACAAAGTAACCCAGTAGACATACTCTATAACCAAAGAGGTAAAGTTCTAAGATTGGTACTAAAGATATAACCTCATAATTAAGATTTGTGTAATATATTAAATATTTAAAATACAATCAAATGCTACTATTCTTTTGGACATTCTTTTGCTCTTATCTCTCTGCCAAAATCAATGCAAGGGGAGAAATGGTGCACTGGTAGAACAGATTTTTATTTTTGAGTCCTTGAGAAGAGAATTAGCTAAATTCAACTGCCATGAGGTATCAGATCAATTTTTATGTAGCAAACACATGATACTAGCTTCTAATTTCTGTTGAATTTAGTAATGCAGTTTTAAAAAACTTATGTCTGATCCATTTTGCCATTTTTGCTGCAATAGTCTGTCAGTAGACTTTTGGAAAAAATGTGTTTAATTTGCTGCCCAATACTTTCTGATTTTTTTCTACTCTTATTCATATGGGAAAAGGGGGAGTAACAACTGGTATATGCAGTGCTGCTGGAGTACATTTTAATGTTTTGACTGAAGAATAATTTTATCTAAAACATACCTGTTATTCAAACTGAATGAGGTTAAATGTAAGTTAGTGAATTTCTCTCTGCTTTTTTTGCACTCTGTTATTGCACTTTGAAGAGCCATTTTGGTACAGAGTTTATATGAAAGATGCCATGGAACATAAAGTTGTATCACATGCAGTTTAAAGTAACTTATTTGACAATGAATTTTATCAGAGTACTGAATTGTATCAATTTGCTTGTGTTCAATATCAGCCTTGATAATAGTGTACCTTAAGATATTGAAGGAGAATATAGATACTTTAAAAGACATTATTAATTTTTATTTATTTTTGTTGGAAACTGGAAAAAAACAAAATTGAAAAATAAAAATGAAACACTTTGCATTAAAAATGTCACTGATAAGTTTAGTCTCTTTCTTTCTTTTTGTTTTGTTTTTCTTTTTTTCCATACTACATTAAAGGGCTTAAAAGCAGTGACAGGACTGTAATGTGTTTAGACATAAAGACATATGGTTTTAGTTTGGGAAAGCATTATATAAATTTATCATATTTTATGGCCTACCATAGTGAAGAATCTCTTTGAAATATAAGGAGTCACACTAATTATAAAATTCTGGGGGTTAGAATTTTTTTTAAACAATATTTTTAAAGAGTATTTTAAAAAATATTTCTAGGGGCTTCCCTGGTGGCGCAGTGGTTGAGAGTCCGCCTGCAGATGCAGGGGACACGGGTTCGTGCCCCGGTCCGGGAAGATCCCACATGCCACGGAGCGGCTGGGCCCGTGAGCCATGGCCGCTGAGCCTGCGCGTCCGGAGCCTGTGCTCCGCAACGGGAGAGGCCACAACAGTGAGAGGCCTGCGTACCGCAAAAAAAAAAACAAAACATATATATATATTTCTAAAAAGAATAAATATCCTATTGAGAAATAACTTTTGGAAGGATACATCAGCCAGAAGCATGTCCCATGGTTCCCTCAGCATCTGCCAACCAAGAGGCTTGGCTTTCCCAAGGCTTCAGAGCAGGAAACATCATTCCTCTGAACCTCCATCACGGTAATGGCTTCCGAAGTGCATGCTTCAAAACCTATACAGTACTTTGCCCATTTATTAGCTCCTTGGACCACTTCATTAGCCTGTGGATAGGGCAGGGAGGCATAACTATGACCATTTTCCAAGGAGGTAAACCAATTTGTCCAGGGTCACAGTGGTGGTAAAAGATGAAGTTGGCATGAGAAACAAGGTCTTCTGATCCCTGATTCTACCACAGCCCTGGCCATGTCAGGACAGCAGAACAAACCATCATGTGGAGTTAGTCTGAGATTTAGTTTGGAATTTTGTGGGGGAGAAACAGAAATTCCTGTAAAATGAAATTCTTGGGATCTCACAACAATCAGACTGACTCTATTTGAAGTCTGAGAACCCAGAGGGTTAATAAAGGAAAAGAACTCCTTGAAACACTTCTCACTCGGCTTACAGGATGTCACACTCTTCTGTTTTTCCACCTGTTTTCAGTCTTATGCTGAATCTTCCTTAATATCTTCCGTCCCCCACCACTAATTTGTAAATGCTGGAGTGCCCCCAGATCTGAATTTCAGAACATTTTCTCTGTGTATCCAGTCCCTTCTTTATTTCATACAGTCTTCTGCCTTTAATAGCCATCTATATACTGATTATTCCTAGGCTAGATACTTTCCCTGATTTCCAAACTTCATTATCCAATGACCTATCAAACTACCCATCCACTTGGATATACACTGGACATTAAAACATAACATGTTCAATAACTGACAGTCCCCTAAAAAGTCTTTCCTTACACAATGTTTCCATTCAATTAAATTACAACTCCATCCTTCTTGTATCTCAGGCCAAAAATCTGGTATCATCCTCTGGAAAGTGCAGAATGGCTCACTTTCAAGTGATTTCAGAGAGGATTACCCTAAACTTTTTTTTTTTTTGCGGTACGCAGGCCTCTCACTGTTGTGGCCTCTCCCATTGCGGAGCACAGGCTCCGGACGTGCAGGCTCAGCGGCCATGGCTCACGGGCCCAGCCGCTCTGCGGCATGTGGGATCTTCCCGGACAGGGACACGAACCTGTGTCCCCTGCATCGGCAGGCAGACTCTCAACCACTGCACCACTAGGGAAGCCCTAAAATATGGATCTTTTAAAAAAATCCTGTCTGATAACCAGCTAATGGTGACTACCCATCATATAAAACCAAACACAGGTACGACATTCAGTTTATTTGAATTCAGAGAAATATTTGGGAAAAGTCTTCCAAAAATTTTGTATGAGCCTTTAGTTCCATGTGCCTATTAAGAAATAAGCACAGCCGAAGCTAATATAATGCAGGTATTGTTAATGGATCCAACACGTGTGAAATGGAGGCCATGTGACAGGATGATACAAAGCTTTGGGTAAGGGTGTGGTTATACTCATTGGAAATATGGAAAATATACATTAAAATATCAGTGGAATGGTGACTTTTCTAGTCAATCTATCAGAAGGGAGCAATGATTTTCTATTTACTCTCTTTTTCTCTGGATGGCAGGGTAGATAGCAAGGAAATATATGTCATTTTCCTGGCCATCAACTTGCCATCAGGAGTAATTCACATTCTGGGAAAAACTGATAAAAATTAATAGTTTAAGAATCAGTCAATATTTATTGAAAATCTTTTTTTTTTTTTGTATCTAGTAATGTATAAGGGGTATAGAGTATTCAAAAGAAGTATAAAATGTACTGTGGTTTTCAAGAAACTTAGAAGAGGAATTTGAAGTTATGGGGCCATGTAAAGAATGATGCAAGGCTTTAGTAGTTAGAGTTCTTCGGTTTTTAGGGACCAAAAACAACTCTCGCTTAACCAAGAAGAA